CCTGGAAGATAAGCTACAAAAAAGGAGAGCTAAACTCGGCAAACATTGTAGTAAGCATACAAACAACCCCCTTCAGTCTTGTTTAGAGCAATTTAAGAGTGCTGGCTGGTATTTTGCGTTCAACATATACTACAGGTGAGATAAGCGGACAACCGACACACGCAGGTAGACTCACTTCGTATACGTTCTTCGTATTCCAACTTTCCTTGAAGGTCTAGCAGTTGGCGTTTGAGTCGATCATTTTCAGCACGGACGTCCAAAAATCGCTCCTGTGAGTAAAAAAAGGAGCAGAGGATGGGGAGGGCAGCGGAGGCAGAATGTTTAGACGGGTAAAAGCGACATTAATGGCTATGTTACCAGAGAAAACGCTTCATATTCACATGAATCTACTACTGGATATAAGCCGTAACAGGCGTGACAAAGCAGGCCCACATAAACGAAAAGGCGTAATGCATTTACGAATATAAACACATTCTTGCGTTTCCATTAGCGAAAGTGAGACCTCCCGGCTAAAATAATAGGAGACCTCAAGAAGAAAAATGTACGATAAAACACTGCCCTTCATGTTGGGCCGATAGAGAAAGGTCGACGCTTGAGAAATGGAAAATTAAACGTCCGTTTACATCACAGTTACTGCGGTGCACAAAGTGACGGCTGGCATCGTTAGACAACACATTGATTGTCGAATGAAAGATTTTAAAATAAATGCGGACATAGACACAAAAAGTTTATTATTTTGCAGAGCAAACTATGCGAAACATTTTAGCGGAAGGACGCTGACCTATAAAGCTCTCAAAATCTCCACGGGTGCTGTGAGTGTCTGTTCTTTCAAAGACCTTGTCGTCCGAAGACCTATTCCGTTCACTTAATCTCCAGTATTTTCTAGAGTCACAAAGACTAGTAGTTTATTTTTCTTGTCTACCATTCGTACATTATCTACGCTTCGAACCCGGACGATGTCCCAGTAGCCTCAATTTATTGTCGATATGGACATTGTGGGGATTCTAGGCGGAGTACGACTGCCTATCGAAGGTGTACCTGGCTTAAGAGGTCCAATGAGTAATTTCGAAATCCGGCCTGGTGTGCCTTGACACTATACCTCTAGATAAGCGCGTTTGTCGACGGATGTGAGGCAGCTGCCAAAGACGCTTAAAATAGGTTCGTCGCTTGCTTCAGCTGGCGCCAGATGATAAGTACTGCCACCACCATGTCAATGGTTAGTCCGCAAATTCAACGAGCGAATACAACAAGTCTCACGTTTCGTTGTCTGTTCATGAATGTCGTGGTATTCAGTGGACGGGTATGGATGGTTAAGAGACGACGGACAGCAGTCCTGCATAGTATCTTTAGCACATGCATACATCGGATGCTCAGAAACTTCTCACTAGACAACATTACACATAAGACTGGAATTTTCTGAAACAAATGGTCTTCCTACTGCCCGAGTTTGAACCAATCCTTTCAGAAAAATGTATCACCGACAAGTTCGAAATGATGAAGTCTTGTTTAGAATGATCAGTACGATGCTGGGTTGCTTCGAAAGTTATGCAACTACGCAAGTACGGATGAGACAGTTTACAAGCTCTTGTACACCCTAAGAAACGTGACGGCGAAACTCACATCGGTACTATGTCGCTCAGCAAGAAAGTCGTTGACAAGGTTGCTGATAGAGACAAGGGGGTCCATATGTGTGTAAAAGCGCGAAACCGGCGCAAGGATCTTATGTAGAGCCTCCTGTTGGGCAGCGAAATCGTCCTCGATGGCGGTAAGCCGGTTTTGGAGTTCGCGGGCCTCACGATCGCACTGCATCCAACTTTGACGAGCTTGATCGGAGCAGGCACGCTCGTACTCAAGGTCTCGCAGGCTGCACCGAAGTTTCTCCATCTGCAAAAGAAAACATAAATTTCGAGTAGCGGTTTTACTATCAGTTTTGTTTTATTTGAAAAAAATATACAAGACGGCATTCCATAGCCCAAAATGTGCGCGGAATCTGTTAACAGCAAGAAGTGAAGAAGAGAGGGGTCGCGAAAACCGTATACCCCGACCGACAGGGACTTTAGCGTCTTATAGAAAAGACAAATACGATCGACCAAATACGCCCCATCAGCAGGAAACTCGTTCAGCTACAGAACCCACAAAATCTCAAAGGAGACAGCCATACTAAGAGAACCAGAAGGACACGCAAAATGAGCACTTTGCTTGTGGGAGGAGAGGCGCGCATTGGCCGTCAGCATTACCATGCATTCACGGGGGGAGGGGGAGCTGGGGTAGATAAAAATAGTTGAGAATAATTAAGGTTTAGGTGGACT